CCAGCAATGATTTGCAAGGCTACAGAGAAAAGGTTAAAGAAGAAAGTGCACAAGAGGTTTACAGTTGAATATTAGGAAAATGAAATCATAACAAAAACCAAATGTAAGACTATGTTGTTGGAAGCCAAGACCAAAATCAGTATAGTGTGGCATTCCCGATTACAATGGATAGATGGGAAAGCTAGACAATGAAGAAAGCTGACAAGGAAAAAAATCAGTTCATTGAAATGTAGTGTTAGAGAATGTTGTGGTTATCATAAACCACCCAAAAAACCAAAAACAAACAAACAAAAATGTTTTGGGGGGCTGTTAGATCAAATCAAAACTACTCTCTAGAAATGAATCAGCGAGTCCTCCCCCCCCATACGGCTAAAGACACGGGGCAGCCTCTTCCCGGAGGCCCGTCCTGAGAAACCCCTGCCTTCCAACAAGGCCAAAAAACAAAGAGACCCCATTTCCGTCTGGACCGGTCCCCCCCCCTCGGTGCGCCCGGTCGGTGCTGCGCAGAGCACGGGCAAGACAGCCGCAGGCAGAGCTTCTCCCGGGTGAACTTCTGCCTGCTGCCAAAGTTGGCAAAACAGCACCGGCCTCTCTGAGAGTTCCCTCCTCTGCTGAGGACCCTTTATTTAATGAAACACTATTTATTTATTTATTTATATATTTATTTATGAAAACTATTTATGAATCACCTCCCTGACCCCTGTTGGGCCTGCAAAGTGAGGCACCACGTTCTACTTCCATATATTAATATTTTAAAGAAAGCATCCGTTAATAAAAAGAAGATTAAAAACGAATTTGAAAGCCAGTTTTAAAAACCGACACCTAGACGGAATTATGCCTTTATGACGGCCCACTTTCTGCAGAAATGGAGACAAGCGTTTTTTGGGGGATCTTCGGCGGCTTCAGCTGGGAGGGTTCTTGGCTCCCCAAGAGGCTCGTATGATTATTCCGCATTCATTTGTTTTCACCCTATTTATTTATTTTTTTAATTTGTATTTATATTAATTT